GCCACTGCGGCTAAAGCCTCCTTGTCGATTTGACTATAGTTACGCTCTGTTGCTGAGAGCGTTCTGGAAAAGAAAGCGATTGGTGCCTCGGAGCCGTTGGGTAGTCTGTGGCTTAAGACAGCTCCAATCCCAAAAGGGGATGCATCAGCTGCTAGTACTAATGGAAGATGTGGGTCAAATTGTATAAGGACCGCGTCTGATGTGAGCAGTGATTTGACTGCGCGAAAAGCAGTGTCTTCCTTGTGTCCCCAGTGCCAAGGTGATTTTTTATCTAAGAGCCTGTGTAAAGGCTCTGCTACTGATGCCTTGTGAGGTAGGAATGACGCATAGAAGTTCAATAATCCCAAAAAGGCTTGTAGCTCGGCTTTAGTGGTTGGTGTGGGTGCCTCGTGGATTGCCTTGACTTTGGATTCTAGGGGGTGGATGCCTGATGCGTCAATTCTATAGCCCAGAAAGTCCACCTGTCTAGTGGCAATGGCACATTTCTCCCGTTTTAATTTGAGGCCATGCTGCCTGAACCTGTCTAACACTGCTCTGACTCTCTGGAAGAGTTGGGGCCTGTCCCTGGCCGAGACCAATATGTCGTCGAAGTAGGGTACTACGCCAGGGAGGCCCTGAAGTATACGCTCCATGAGGGATTGGAAAATGCCAGGGGCAACACTTACGCCAAATTGGAGATGCCTGCACCGGAAAGCACCCCTGTGGGTCACGATAGTTTGTAATTCGGCTGTTTGGTTGTCAACAGGGAACTGTTGATACGCTTGTGACATGTCCAATTTGGCAAAAATGTTGCCAGGCTCAAAAGTGTGCAATAAATGTTGAATGACCGGGACTGGGTAAGCGCTAACTTGTAGAAAGCGGTTAATTGTTGTTTTGTAATCCGAGCAAATTCTCAGACTGCCGTCTTTTTTAAGGGGTGTGACAATTGGCGTCTCCCATTTGGCGAAGTCTGTCGGCTCAATGACCCCTTGCTTTAATAATTTATCCAGTTCCGCGTCCAATTTAGGCCGAATGGCGAATGGGACTCTACGAGGTTTCAGCCGGACTGGAACTGCTTGGGGGTCAACTGCAAATGAGATGGGAGTGCCGTTATAACACCCCAACTCATCGCTGAATACGTCTGAGTAGTCAGTGAATAAGGAGTCAGTGTCAGAAGCTGAGACAGCATGGACTCCTGTTAACCCTAGGCCGAGGTAGGGGAACCAATCAAGCCCCAAGAGACTAGGGAGGTTGCCGTTAACTACCACTAGAGGCAGGTGGCCTTTGAAAGCTTTAAAATTAACAAGGAACTTGCCTTTGCCGAGTACTGGAATGTCCTTCCCTTGATAGTCCCTCAAGGTGAGCTGGCACTTCTGGAGCTGGCTTCTGGATAGTCTGGGCTGGATTTTCTTGAGTGTGCTCCAAGAGATGATTGAGAGCGCTGACCCCGTGTCAACCTCCATACGACAAGGTTTACCTTCTAATAAAATTGAGAGTGTGATTTTACTAATAGAATGACAGGTGTGGTTAGCATGGTAGCAAGTGTGACACTTTAGTACTTGCCTTTGGTGCCCAGAATGGGGAAAGGAAGGAACCCTTTGTGTGGAGCTGTGAGCAGCCTGGCAGACTCTGGCGATGTGGCCCTTTTTGTGACAATTGTTGCAGGTGGCACCCTTGAATCTGCATGAAGCTCTCGAGTGTGGTCCGCCACAGGATAGGCACAGGATGATATGTTTGGGTGCACTGCTGCTATCTTGCCTGGTTCCTACCTGCGGTTGCTTAGCCTGGGTGAGACGGTGGATGTCTGTCTGATCGTTGGGATCTTCTTCGTTGATCACCTCCTCCGAGTGGATGGTGGCACAGCTTTGTTTGGGAACTGACCCTTGAATCTCGGTGGCTGACTGGGTTGCCAGCTCTGCTGCCAAGGCTTCCTTGACGGCCTGGGAGAGGTTGAGATCCTTCCTGGCAAGCAGTCGCCTTTGGAGGTGAAGGTCCTTGACCCCGCAGACGAGCTGGTCGAGGAGCATGTCATCTAAGTAGTTCTTGAACTCGCAGTGGAGAGCTGCGGTTCTCAAGGCGGCCATGTACTGATTGATAGTTTCCCCTTCAGCTTGCTTCCTCATCCGGAAGGCGAAACGTCTCGCAATTTGTGAAGGCTTGGGGGAGTAATGATTTGTGAGGATCTCCAGCAGTTCTGCCCAGGGAACGTTCTTTAACTCACGTGGAGCAACGAGTGCTGTGGCGGTATCAAAAACGATGGCTCCGCAATAACTGAGGAAGAATGACTTCTTTCTGTGCTCCCCAGCATCAGCCAGACCAATGGCATCGATCTAGTGGTTAAAATGATTTTTGTATGACTCCCACTTTTCTTCATCAGGCTTGAACGGTGGGAAGGCTGGGTTGGAGTTCATGTTGTGAACTTCTGCAGGTTACTCAGCTGTGAGATCTCTCTGGGATGACAAAATGGCCCTTCGTGCTCTTGTCAGGCTAGTGACTTCAGCTCTTGAGAGGTTCCACAGAATCTCTCTGTTCTCTCTGGGTTACGTTATGGCTCCGGCTGCAACGGTCGTTGGCAGCGTTATTTGAATTTCGCGCTCCTGGAGAGCGTAGGCGGTAATGGCTGACCGCCTCTGACAGTGATTCGAATCTCGCGCCCTGTGCCGGCGTCAGAGACTCCCGGAATGACAGCATCGCGCTGTACTCCGACTCGAATTCAAACGACAGCTGTTTGAATTTCACACCCTTTTGAGCTGAGCGGCTGCAGCTCGCAGCGCTTCACTTTCCCTGTAGCTTGCTAACCGAGCGGCTACAGACGCTCTTCCTTTCGCTTTTGCTGACCGAGCTCTCCGGCGGCGCGGCTGCGGCTCAGCAATTGAGTGACTTCAGCTGTTGCGGATTGCCTCTGGTAGCCATCCCACCCTCGTCGCCAGTGTTGTAGATTGAGCAATGAGTGGCTAGACCAGGGCATGGATGCAACAAGACTTTATTAAAGAAATAAAGGACTGAACGTGTTAGCCTTGCCTGGAGCAGGCTCACAGCGAACAGCGGCTGACCGAACCCTGCAGCTGGCTTTTATAACCGGCTGTCGAGGGAAGCCAGCCAATGAGGGGCAGCAAACGCCCCCGCAGCATGAACGGACCTGGGTGGGGACTTTGGCAAGTTCCAGGGACATAACAGTAATATTCCACTATTTTTTTTCCTGCTGCTGTGCACTTTGGGCCGTCTTCATTTTCAATGTTTGGTTTAATTTTGGAACACTTATTTTTTTTCTTTCTTTTCCCTTTTCCCTTTTTTCTTTACTAATTTTCTGGCTAATAAATGGATACAATTTGGCTTTCTTGATTTTTTATTTTTCCCCTTTCTTTTCTGTTTTTCCCCCTTCTATCTAGAAGTGGGTGGATTTGTATTCTTCTTCTTGATTCCTTTTTTTTTTCATCAGATTTTTTGGATTTCATATATTTTTCCTTCTTTTATTCTGGATTTATAATTTTTCTTTTTGTTTTTGGATCTTTTATCTCCATCCCCTTTGGATAAAATTGGATTAAGGTACAGAAGAACCTGAAGATTTTACACTTATTTTTATTTTTCTTGGATTTCTGCAAGTGGATTACAATTAACTAGACATGAGAAAGACAACTGTTACTGGATCATCGATCCCCACCTCTTCCCTGAGCCCAGCCAGTCAATGATCCATAATAACTATTCTTCAACAACAGAAAGAAAAAAAGAAAGAGGGTTCAATGCAAGAAATAAAATCAAAGTTCCAAGCAATACAAGATCAAGGGAAGCATACAAATGATAGTATTGGAAAGATGGAAGAGAGGATGGAAAAGATGGAAGAAAATATACAACTAATGATAACAACAGATAGAGAAAGAATGCAGAAGATGGAAGAAAGAGGTGACAAAACATATAAGAAAGTAGGAGAAATAGATAACAGACTGACAATGGTTGAATACAAAAAAGGAAAAGACTCAATACTCTGGGAGATGGACAAGGCTGATTTCTACCTAAGATTTCAAAATATTGAGGAAGAAAAAGGAGAAAACCTTGCAGAAATTATTACACAAATCTTGGCAGGAGCTTTGGAGATATCCAAAGAAAAAATGATGGATGGAATGGATGAAATATATCGAGTATATACTAGTTATACGATGAGAAACAAATTACCTAGAGAAGTACATGTGAGATTCACTAAGAAAACAATGAGAACAGAAATACTACAGAAAGCAAGAGGTGACCCATTGAAATATAAGGGAAAGGAGATTAAAGCTCTGAAACAAATACCAAGGAAAGTGAGAGATTTAAGAAGAGAATATCAATTTCTGACAAAGATTTTAATCAAGAAAGAAGTGAATTATAGATGGTTGATTCTTGAAGGTTTGACATTTGTTTGGCAAGAGCAAGGACATAGAATAGACTCAGTTGAGAGAGCAGAATTATTTTACAATGAATACTTTAGAGGATCAGAAGATGAGAGAGCAAGACAAGAGGAACTTAAAATACGAGCAGAGATGACAAAAGAAATAGATAAGGAAAAAGGAGAAGAGGACAAGAAGAAGGAGCAGAAGGTGGCAGAATGGCAATCAAAGAGCCAAGAGAACAAAGAACAACAAGACCAATAAATCCTACGTATAAAGTATAAATAATGGAAGAGAAAAAGAAACTAATTTCTGTAAATATACATGGACTAAATTTGGCTATCAAAAGGAAAAAGACATTCCATAAACTAGAAAAACTGAAGATGGACATAATTTCTTTACAAGAAGTGCATATTAAAAAACAACATGCACATCTGTTGAACTGCCCCAGAATTGGTAATTTATATACATCATTGGCACAACAATATAAGAGAGGACTTGTTCTATATATTAAAAATACAATTAAAGCCAAACTAATTTATACAGACGAAGAAGGAAGAATACTGATGGTTGAAATAACAGACAACAACTTAAAGATGCTTTTAATAGCAATATATGCACCAAATAATAAACAAGATTAATTTTATAAGAAATTACATAATAAAATAATTGAATTGGAATATGATAAAATATGCATCCTTGGAGACTTGAATAATAAAAATAGACAATTTACATTTTATTCCAATAGACACTTATCATGGTCAAGAATAGATATGATTTGGATGTCAACAGATTTAATTTCAAACTTACATGAAGTAAATATTGACATAAGTATTTGGGCGGACCACAACCCAATCGTGGTTAAATGGAAGAGACAGAGGAAAAGATCAAGATGGACTTTGAATAATTCAATTTTGAAAGAAAAAGAATTCATTAATAACATAGAGAAAGAATTGGCTTTCTGCTTTAAGGAAAATAAACCAGAGGCAACCTCACTACAAAATGTATGGGATACTATGAAGGCATATACCAGAGGTGTGATTATAACTTACACAAGAAGAAGAAATACTAAAAAGAGACAAACGCAACAGATCTTAGAAGAAGACTACAAGAAATGGGAGAAGGAGCTACGATGATACCCACAACATAAAAACATTGAAAACCAAATGGATATAATCAAACATAAAATGGGATTAATGGAAAAAGAAGAACTGGCACAAAAAATCAGGGGAGCTAAACAGAACTTTTTTGAAAATGCAAACAAGCCAGGTAGATGGCTAACATATAAATTGAAACAAGAAAAAGAATTAAAAAGAATAGAATTAAAAATAACAGATGAAAATGGCATGCTATGTTATGGAAAGAGAAGAAAAAAAAAATAGCGCAGAGGTACTATGAGAAATTATATGAGCAAGAGGTAATACCAGAAAGGAAAGTTCAGCAATACTTGCGAGAGGCAGAATTACCGAAAATACCTGATGAAGCAAAAACTATGTTAGAAGATAAAATAACAATGATGGAATTGACAGAAGCAATAAATAGACAAAACACTGGGAAAACTCCTGGTCCGGCTGGGCTACCAGCAGAATTTTACAAGACAATACAGGAATCAATTTCTACTACAATGCTTGAAGTACTGAATGAGGTTCTGACAAAAAATAAAGTACCTGATTCATGGACAGAGGCATATGTTACACTTATACCAAAGGAAGATACTGACCCTCAACAAATAAAAAATTATAGACCAATATCCCTGCTAAATGCTGACTATAAAATATTCACCTCAATAATGGCAGAAAGACTAAAAAGATATTTAAATCATTTTATACACCCAGATCAAAATGGATTTCTGCCTAAGAGACAAATAAAAAATAATATGAGGATAATATTGAATACTCTGGAATACTATGAAACCCACTCAGAGAAACAAATGTCATTAGTGTTCTTAGATGCACAGAAAGCGTTTGATAATGTGAATTGGCAGTTTATGTTGATGCAACTGGAGGAGATGGGTTTTGGAGACAGGTTCACTAAAGCATTAAAAGTGATATATAACAAGCAAACAGTTGTAAGAGTAATGATGAATGGAGAACTGACAGAAAACTTTAATATTCAAAAAGGAACCACACAAGGCTGTCCGCTATCCCCATTATTGTTTGTACTGACTTTGGAAGTTTTGAATAGAAATATTAGGAAAAATGAAGAAATAAAGGGAATGAAAATAAAAAAGGAAGAGTACAAATTACAAGCATTTGCAGATGATTTGGTCTTTATATTGGAAGAACCATTGGAAACACGTCCTAAGCTGATCAAAAAAATAGAAGAATATGGCGAGGTTGCAGGACTGAAAATAAACAAGGAAAAAACAAAAAATGGTGAAAATATGACAGAAAAAGAAGAAAAGATTAATGGACAAACTAAATATTCAAATCACAAAAAAGTGAAATACTTAGGGATACAAATGACAGCTAGATGTGGAACTCTTAAAGAGGAAAATTATGATAGACTGCAACAACAGATTGTGCCAGATTTGGAAAAATGGAAAAATTTACAACTATCCTTAACAGGGAGAATAGCGATGATCAAAATGAACATATTGCCAAAAATACTATATTTATTCTAGATGATTCCAATAAGACTGAGGTAAAAATATTTTGAGGACTTAAATAAAATGATGTTGAAATTTAATTGGCAAGGGAAAAAGACAAGAATCAAGATAAAATTGTTGCAGGATGCAAGAGTGAGAGGAGGTTTTGAACTACCCAGTTGGGAATTATACTATCAAGCAGCAATATTGATGTGGATGAAAGAATGGATTGTATTGAAAAATGTTAGATTGTTAACATTGGAAAGACATGATTTGCAATTAGGGTGGCACGCATTCCTATGGTATAATGAAAGCAGGGCACATGGATATTTTAGGACACTATGTCAGGGACGCTTTATTAACAGTATGGGAGAAAATAAGGGAATACCATTATATGAAAACACCAGTTTGGTTGTCAACAATAGAGGCATTTGCATATCCACATGTTTTTAAAAGGGAACATATTATTAGATATGAGGAAATTTTAAATGAAAAGGGTGAACTCAACACAAAGCAGGAACTAGAAGAACAAGGGATAAATATAGGTTGGTATTCATATTTGCAAATACATTCAAGGTATGAAAAAGACACTAAGATGGCTGGGTTTTACAAGGAATTGACTGAATTAGATACAATCCTAACAGGCATTGAAGAGATGATTAAAAAACAATATGGTTATCTATTAGGAGTGAACTTAGAGGAAGAACAAGTTAAAGAAACAATGATTGTGAAGGAACAGATGTTGGAACGTGTTGTGTTGTGGGAAAGGAGCCAGAGACAATGGCTCCGCAATCAATGTTTTACTGGTAAGTACTCAATTCCAACTGCAACACAACAAGGGCTAACAGCTAGCGGGCTCCCTTATATAGCAGTTGCCTGCCATGCCGTTAGCCAATTAAGTAACTGTATTTTCCTGCGCGACTAACAGCAGGCTATTCTGTGTCTGCGGCTGCGCAGACACAACACCCCTCACCATCCAGCTGGTACTTTAATACTTAACTATTATTCTATTATTACTTACTACTAACTAGTATACTTTATTAATGTTTAACTTATTGCTTAATTATCTTATATTATCTTATCATAACTTTAACTACAGACATAGTCCTTTAAGTAGGCTGGTCGTTTCCGGGATCGATTTGACCTTCGATCCTCCTGGACTCTGGGTTGCTCGTTACACACATCAGTGTCTTTTTGTCAAATTTCAGAGTCACTGGATGTGTCCATCAGGACTTCAGCTGGTGGGGGGTTCATGACAGGCATCACCTTGGGCACTGCAATCTCCTTCTCCAGTAAGTCTCTCTCCTCGTCCCCCTGTGGTTCAGTGTCCTCCGATTCCCCATCAGTCATTCATGCCAAGTTTCTCCTCAGCTGATTGATGTGTCTGCGCCACACCTTACCGTTGCTGAGCTTCACATGGTACGACCGGGGCCCTGTGACGTCAAGTATGTGGCCGGGTACCCAAATAGGTTTTCCGGCATAGTTCTTGGCGTACACCCTTTCACCTTGTTGGAACTGTCTGTTTCTTCCTCTCTTTGTTGTTTGTCTGCCCTGTAGTTGGGGTGTATCCTATCCAGCTGTGTTCTCAATCTCCTCCCCATTAACAGCTCCACTGGGCTTCTGCCCGTACCCATGCATGGGGCGACGTGCTGGGTTAATAAGTATCTCTCTAGCTGTTCTTGTGAATTGCCTTGCCCCATTCTGCTGAGGGCCTCTTTTGTTGTGCAGACCATCCTCTCCACTTGACCATTTTCTGCAGGATGAAATGGAGCGGTGAGCGCATGGCGGATACCCGTTAGCCAGGAATAGTTCGAATGGTCGGGCCATAAACTGTGGCCTGTTGTCGGAGACGGACACATCTGGCAGGCCATGGGTGGCAAACAGTCTGTGTAATACATTGATGGTGACATCTGTAGTTGTTGTGACTCCGGGATTTGAATCTGGTCCGTCAGCAGATGTGAGCTCGAGTGAAGAGTATCTGGCACTGAGATTTGAGCCTGCATTGTTGAGTGATTTTGAAGGTAGCCAGGATGAGGAAGTGGACTTAGCTATGAGAGACGAACCTAGTTTATTGAAGGTGTCCTCCCCCGAATCTCCCTCTCTGATTACACAGCAGCCGGGAACAGATAATCAGGAAAACGTGCGAGAGGTTTCAAGTGAGGAGGAGGAGGGCTTTGAGGGATCTTGGCTTGACGTGAGAAATAGACGGAGATTGAGACGTCAATCTCAATTGGGAAAGAAGCGTCAAGACAGTAATTAATGTGACTAACACGCCCCCTTTAGGGGATAAAAGGAAACGGATTGGCTTGAGAAATTTGCCAGAAGCAAAGTGTATTGTTGGAGCAAAAGTACTGTGAAGTTTCTCGGAGGCATTGTGATTTATAGGCACTTCAGGATTGCCAAACAGATTTCAGAATTACTGCTGAGGACTGGAAAAACCTCAGCAGTTATCCTTGTTGGGGTTTGTTTTTGGTTGCTTGTATTTTTGGAACTTTAGAATTTTGATTGCTCACCTGTGGATACAGGTGAGACATAACATGTAGTGGTAGTGCTCATGATGGCCACTTCCAACCACTTGGAGTAGGCGTTGATGATAATTAAAAAGTATTTACCGTGTACTGGCCCGGCAAAGTCGATGTGTAGTCTGGACCATGAACCTCTTGGCGTCTCCCATTCTCATGGCGGTGTGACAGGGGGTGACGGTTGCGTCTCTTGACATGGTTTGCAGCAGGCCACCCACTGTTCGATGTCTTTATCCATGGATGGCCACCACAGATAACTGCGAGCTAACGCCTTCATGTGGATGATCCCGGGATGGCCTTCGTGTAGCGCCTGCAGCAACAAGTCTCGCAGTTGGTGGGGTATCACTACGTGGCTCCCCCACAGTAGGTAACCTTTCTGTACTGATAGTTCATGTTGCATCGCTTTGAATGGCCTAAATGCCGTACTTGTTGGATCTTTAGGCCACCACCTCCAAACCCTGTTCAGTACCTGTGCTATGGTTGGGCCTTCTTTGGATTTTTTGGCCACCTCAGTGGCAGTGATCAGTCCCATTTGCAGAGTCTCGACTAGTAGTACTGTCGCCATTGGAGCAGGGTCTTCCATTTGTTGTGCTAACGGACACCTACACAGTGAGTCTGTGTTGCTTATGTTCGAGCCCGGGTGGTGTATGAGCTTGTACTGATAGACCACTAGGAATTCAGTCCACCTAATCATGCATGGGGACAGGATTTGCGGTGTTTCCCTGTCACCTACAAGGAGGCCTAATAATGGTTTGTGGTCAGATATAAGCTCAAACTTCCGTCCATACACATACTCATGGAATCTTTTAATCCCTGCGACAGCAGCCAGCACCTCTTTGTCGAGCTGGCTGTAATTTCTCTCCACCCTGGAGAGCGTTCTTGAAAAAAATGTGATGGGCGCCTCCGTGCCATCTGGGAACTTGTAGATTAGGATGGCTCTGACACCATATGGAGAGGCATCACAAGTCAGAGTTAGCGGTAGGGTAGGGTCTTGTTGTACTGAACTAGTACACTGTTTGAAGTTAGCAAGTCTTTTAGCTGTTCGAAGGCTAGTGCTTCCTTCTGACCTCAGGCCCATGGAGTTTTCTTGTCGAGCAAATGGTGTAATGGTTCCACGATGGATGCTTTCTGTCTCAGGAAAACACTGTAGAAGTTAAGGAGCCCCAGGAAGGCTTGGAGTTCCATTTGGTTTGTGGGCGTTAGAGCTTGTTTGATTGCCTGTGTCTTTTCTTTGGTGGGGTATAGGCCGGCCGCGTCAATAAAATATCCAAGGAATTCTACCTGGTCCACGGCAACCAGGCATTTTTCCTTTTTTACCTTAAGCCCCGCCTGTTGAAACTTCTTAAGTACTGCTTGTAAACGGTCCATTAATTCAGGTTTGTTTGCTGCTGAAATTAGGATGTCATTGAAATACAGGACAACTCCTGGTATTCTGTGCAGCATCCTCTCCATCAGACTCTGGAAGAGTCTGGGGGCAACACTCACTCTGAACTGCAGTCATTTGCAACAGAATGCCCCCCCCCCCAGTGTGTGACGATTGTCTGGGCCTCAGCTGTCTCATCATCAACACGGAGTTGCTGGTAGGCCTGGGTGAGATCGGGCTTCACAAAAATTTTTCTGCCTTCCAGTGAATGTAGCAGATGTTCTACCACCAGGACAGGGTACGCGCTCTGTTGTAGCGCCTTGTTTATTGTGCACTTGAAGTCGGCACAAATGTGTACTGTCCTGTCGGGCTTCATGGGCGTGACGATTGGGGTCTCCCACCGCGCGTGATCGACAGGTTCTCAGACTCCTTGCTGAACCAACTTGTCCAGCTGTTCGTCAATCTTTGGTTTCAATGCAAATGGCACCCCTCTCAGTTTCAGTCTAATGGGTGCCACTTGTGGGTCTAGGCTGAAGGATACTGGCTTGCCCTTGTATTTCCCCAATGCGCTGTCGA